CAAACACGAGGATACTCATTCGACTCTGCAGCCTTTACAAGTGATTTATCAATTTACTGTAATAAAAACTAAGCTGATTAAATTACATTGATTTGCACTAGATTTGTATTTTGATATACTAAAATATAACTTTTCCAAAATATATTTTTATTAAAATAAATTATAGAAAATTATGATAAAAAATCTCACACCCATTACACAGTCTATATTAAGGGGAATCATTTTAAATTTAGGGAGCTAAAAATATCAAATACTTTTTATACTGAAGGAGGTGTTGCGTCAAGCACCTCAATACATAGATAGCTTAAAATGGCTTAAAACTAGGAAAAGGCAAATGATTTCTTCTTATTTAAACTCCTTTCCAGCACAAACTGTTTTTGAAATGATACTATTTGAATAAATTTAAATAAAAGTGCAGTTATAAAGATCTCTAAGTATCTCTAAACATGCCTTAAACATATGTATAGACATAATTTGGCCACTTAAAATATCACTAGGATAAAACTTTGGCTGATAAGCTTCAATCTAATATTAGGAAAAGCTTTCAAACTTTTTTTTTGCGGAAGACTGACTGGGGGTTCTGGCTCATGAACTCTGCAGAGTTATCTGTGCCTCTCAGTCTCTTCAAGCAATTTACCCAAATGTGTAAATTAAGGGACAGGTAAGTAATGCAAATGAGTCTTATGTACAGAAATACAAATAAATTTTGTCCAGTTACAAATACATTGTAATTGTTTACTTGCCAGAGGAGATTGATTTGTTTTGAATCTATTTGTAAACGTATTTTGGCATTCCAGATCGCCCATATATACACACATAGATATAGAGATATAGTTTATATGTTCATGTTCTTTGAATTCTCATTTAAACTGGCTGTAACATCTCATGAGTTTCTTCATTACTGAGTTAAATAAAATCTTTGGCATGTGCTACTTGTGTATTTATACGGGTCATGGTTTTATGTTATTAACAATATCCTTGGACAACCAATGAAATTTCAATTTGCTAAATGTTGGTAAAAACATTTTGAGTCCATATTAATTTTCAAAGCTCCCATCTCATTTAGTTTAAAATAAAGATAAAAACTTCATCATAGAACAATTTAGAAACGTACGCACTTGTTTGAGAAAGCTTTGTCCAAAGTGTGTCCATATGATTCTTTTCTGAGATATTTACTTAAAAGAAGCTTTTGTTGTAAAACGCATGATTATAATGTGGAGTTTCTTACTGGTAGGAGTCCAAATGGTCCTTACTCATGCAACAAGCTGGTAATCATGTTCTTAGTTCCAATGCAACCCCCCTGCAGGGACTCTCCTTCCCAAACCTCCTGCTCCAGGTCCTGCAGTACTTACTATTTCCTTCTCTCCCACCACTCTGCCTATTCCAAACTTCTCAGCTTCTCTTTCCCTACCTGTAACGGTCTCCCCTCATCTCTCTGCTTTTCCAAATTCCAATCAGCAATTGTACTGATTTTGTACAATTCAAGTGTTTGTAATAATTCAAATGTGCGCTTATGTTTGCCACTGCACTGTGTGTTCTTCAAGGGTTGAGAATATCTTATTCATCTTTGTATGACAGGGCAGGAGAGAATTGCAACAAATTACAATTTCATGTTCAGTTCGTCTCCCTGTTACACGGAGAGGCCCAGAAGAATCTGAATAAGCAAGCCTTGCTGTGAGGTCCTGCCCCCTTTGTCCAATCATGTGTTTACACAAATGTGTACTCCTAAGCATGAAATGTACAGTTTTTCCTGGGCCTTTGTCTGAAAAAGCCTCTGGCGTCATGTACAACTTTTATTAAATATGTTCACTATGCTTTTTCTTGTTAATCTGTCTTTTACTGCAGGGGTGTCAGTCATGAACCATGCAATGGGCGAGAAAAGAAACTTTTTCTTCCCTCTAGTCCCCCCGCTTACTCTCCCTCACTTATCTTATTCTGTCCCTCAATAGGCCTTGTATTACCGTTGTAGTGCTATGTGACTCTGCCTGTCTTACTGTCTTATGCCTTATTTCCCATCTAGACTTTGAGTTTCTTGAGCCAAATGATCTTTCTTAGCTACATCACCTGTGACGACGGGAATTGTCAAGAAGCAAAAGCGAATTACTACTTGGATGATCTGAATCGAAGGTAAATACTTCTTAGTAGAAATACCAGTGATCACAGAGGGACAAAGAAAAATGTGGGAGACAAATTTAAAGCTATGAAATAAGCCCTGGTGCTATTCTAAGGACTAGGGAAACTATTTTAATAGCCTGGTTAATTATATTTTTGCTATGAATTTATCAATTCTAATTATCTTCATTGTACAAACATTTATAAAAATATGCATTATTTCTGGTTCTAATGGCTTTAGCATTAAGTAAAAATTCCTCAAAAAACGCTCTTCTCAGTGGCTGTTCTATGACATAAATGGGCTTATATACAACTACTGCAAATTAAGACTTGTATCTATTTTATGCAGTAATAATTGTTGAATACATTTGTTTACTAAGTACTGTACTGACTGAGTGTTGACATGAAAAAGGGACCAAATTATGTTATAAGTTCTCCACAAGCTAAGTGTGATCATACAGGTTTTCTTATGATAAATGTAAGAATTGAGATTTAAATAAAGTGGTATGGAATCACTACAAAATTAAAGGGACTAATTCTGCCTGGAAGAACAGTGGGGATAGATTAAAAGTGAAAATGCCCTTTGATTTATTTATAAAGCCTGGGTAATAAGAGGGTAAATTTTGCCAGTGGTTGGGTAGTTCCTGCACTGCACGCTGCGGGCAAACGCTGTGAAACACAGCCACATTGTCAGGGGTCAGCTGCTTGTGATGAATCTCTCTGAAGGAGAGAGCGTCTTTTCCTTTACATATAGGCACTGCCCTCTCTCCACCCCAAAGCATTCTGAGTTGCATGGTAACATAGAGAGGCTTGTGTTGCGTAATGATACTTGGGCAATAGTAACCTCGCAGGGCTGGACTTTCCTTGAGGAACTCAAGTTTGAGGGAAAAGAGGATTCTATCATTAGAATCTCAGGGACAAATAAAATGGAGAATATGTCTGTTTGGAGCAGAGATCACTGTTAGGGGGCTCCGAGGAGGCTAGAACAGAATGCTTGCTCACTGAGATGAGTCTAGAATAGAGCATGGGTCTGATGTTTAGGGAAGCATAACATGCTGGTAATGGCGGGACTGAGTCCTGAAAGATTAAAGACCTATGGTGAAGCCCTTTATAACAACAACTCGTAATTAGGAAGCAGACTTTGATGGTTGAGGAAAGGAGGTGGGGAAACACAGACGTTAATTGGTCTAATCTTTGGAAACGTATTAGCATATAATCTGTCCTTTAGTTTGTTTGCATTTTTCAAAATAGAATGTGTTATGTTATGAACAACATAACATTTATTAGATCTCAGTATTAAGCATGCACTATCCATGTAAAATTGACTTAAAACTTACTGTTACACCTGAACGGCACCTACCTGTATTCCTTCATTTGTTTAAGTAAATTCTTTCGAGTTTTATCTGCTTTTCGTTTCTGCTGAACAGCCAGCGTTTTCTTGTTCTGGAGAGCTTCCATCTCCTTCCATCTGTCAACCGCACGCATCCTCTTGGCCAAAAGAGTGCGCCCATTATTTAAGGTTTGAACTAGTGCACGCTGTGTGGCCTTCGCACTGTTTTCTTCTAGAAACAGAATTCTTCTCTCCAAAACTTTTTCAAGGTAGTCTGATTTATCCTTCCGAAGTTGTTGTAAACCATTCCGAATGGTCTCCTTGTGTTTTGCAATTAGTTCCTGTGCAGCATATTTTTTATTACTCAAAGTTTCTTTAACAGTTATGCTATTCCTTTCTTCGTCAATCTGTGCCATGGTTATAGCTATTGCTTTTTGATGATAGAGTTTCTCATTCTTTTGTTCTGTGTAGTATTTATCAATATCCATCAGGGTCTGGAGTTTCATACCAAGACTGTGTGTGGTTAAAAACTCTTTCCTTCTCTTCCTCTCCAGCACTGTGTCTTTCTTAATAATTGGTTTGGGATAAGTCACAAGACGTGACCGAGCATATGCAGGAAAAAAGTCTTTTTTTCTCTCTTTGAATATTTCAGCATACTGTAATGGACTTGAAGTGTATATGGGCAGTTTGACCACCGACAGCCTAAAACTGGTGTCCAGTTCTTCATCTTTCATTTCCTTTTTCGACTCCTTCTCACCTACATCATACAGCAGACAAAAGTTACGTATTTTACAAGATCGAAACACATTTCATTTCTTGTCCAAACTGTTTTGAAACCTGTATTAATAAAGTTGATAACAGCCTGTTATTTACTTTACCAAAAATCATTTTCCCAAGTTCCTTTTCAACTTGTAAGTTAATAGTGATTTTAGCGAAGAAAATCACTATTGAGACATTTTAACACAGAAACACACACTGAACCTATTCCTGTATTTTCTCTCACAATTTAACTTGCACAGACTCCATAGAAGCATCTTTTACTTAGTGTCTAATAATAAATGATATTAGACACTAAGTATTAAGTAAATAACTATTTTTTCATATACTGTGATAAAAGAAAAACTTCTAACTAAATTTAATGCAGTTTAATTAAGCAAAGAATGATTCATAAAAAAGGTAGTGCTCAGAACCAGTGGGGATAGGAGATCTCTGCCCCCCAATGTGGATAAGGAGTATTTATAGACAGAAAACAGAAGCCATGTGATTGGTTACAGTTAGTTGGGACTATCCTTGGGCAACCTGTGATTGGCTGAAGCTCTGTGTCTCTGATGGACTATAACTCATCTATTTGTTACAAAACTGTACTCCTAAATCAGAATTTCACTTTGTTTATATACTAAGGTAAGGCCTCAGACCAAATTTCATTTAATTTAGCAAGTTATTATTAACTCATATTTTCAAAGGGTATTGGAATCAGTTTTACCTTGTTTTTCTTTATTCTGGTAGAAATTAAAAGTTACTATGAAAATTGTTTTTCCCTTTTTGGGATAAAAAAAACCCTAACCCTCCCAGCTTGCTTTTCTGTGATGTGTGACCCTAAGCTCCGTCCTCTCTAGTGCTTGTGTCATTTCTTGTCCACGACTTTTTAGAAACAACGTGCCTCTTCTTTCTTTTTTTGGACCATTACAAAGAGACAAGTATGAAGAAGGAGCCTGGCTCCCTGATTCACTGGTTGAAGAACTACTCACAGACCAGAATTATCCATCTTCAACTATTACAGGGGCAGAAATATTAATCAATGGCAGTTATGGCTGAGTCAATAAATATTTCTGGGTCTACTTTCTACCATAGCTACCCTAATACCTTACCTTGAATCATATAGTTGTTCACATAGTTATTTTTTGACAAACTATTGATGAATTCAGGATCAGGAGGCAAACACTGGTATAAAATTGATGCTGGTCAATGTTAGGAAAAAAAAAAAAAAGATTCCTAATTCCCTCTACTAATAAAATTACATTCCCACCAGCTCTAGCCTGCGTGGATTTTATCTTCTCTAGTAGAAAAGTCCTTTCACGTTTTTTGTGAAGGAAGTTAAGATGGGTGTGAAGGGGCGGGGTGGGGGGTCCCGTGTCCTAAACGAGGGAAAGGAAAGAAGTGGATACTCAGGATTTTCATCAGAGGTCATGGGACTATAAACAGTAGAAAGCGAGGAAAGTGTGGAGCTAAGCAGGAGACCAACTCTGCCAAGTACTAGGGTACAAAGCCAAAGTGTCCAGACGTAAGTATGAAGAGTGTGAGTGCAAAGCCAGGGACCACAAACCCAGAGGGCCAGAGCCAATCTCTCAGTGGCTGCCTGAACATCATCTCTTCAGCATTTTTAAAAGTCTCCTAATTTCTTTCTCTGCTTTCAGAATCTCTGTTACAAGATTCACTTACTGCTGTAATACTCTTCTTCTGAAATTTAGATTCTAGTCATGTTCTGTCTTATACTCAAAGGGAAACAAAGCCTTCAGGGTTGAAGGAAAATTTCAACATTTAGTCTAATATATATTACAGGAAAAGAGTGTTATTTTCTTTCCCTATACAGAAATCATCTTACCACCTTTCATATTTTCCTTACGTTTTCATGTTTTATGTTTTATCTATGTTTAAATTCTCTCCATTCATTTCTTGGAATGTTATTTTCCTTGATTTTTAAAATTCTCATAATCAGTTTTGCGTTGTGGAATTTATCAAATTCCATATATATTGAAGCTTGGCGTAGTAGTTCTTAGCTATAATATTAAGCTAGACATAAGTTCCTTAGGAATAGGGATCTACTGTTTTGGTTATTGATCCTACATTCCTAGCTCCTAAACTAGTATCTTGTACAGAGTTAGGTTTTAAATGTGGATGAGGTAATTAAATATCATACGCTTAATAAGTTTCTGTGTTGGATGAATGAATAATGATAGAGTCAGAGACATATTTATCTTAGGTATCATTATTTTTTACTATATTTTGCATGGAAAATAAGGGACTTGTATAATATCGCCTTAATTCTATTAATAGCATAAAGTTGAAATAGCTACATAATTTAGTAATGAATGAGGAAAATATAGCAAAGTCCTTTATGTCACAACCCTCAACATTTGCTGCAAATTAAAACACAGAATAGGCAGGAGGAGTTTTTGACAAACTATTGATGAATTCGGGATCAGGAAGCCTTGGCTCCACCCCTTTTACCTTTCCAACCACAATTATCTGGACTTTCTCTTCTGATACCTTTTCTCTACTGAATCATTCCCTTCAGAGTTTGAACAGCCATGACCACCACACCCACCACCATCACAAGCACTACCTTTGGCTCTCATTGCTTTTACGATAATATATGCAAGGGGCAATATTTTCTATTCCAATTCTTTCTTAAATTATCAATACCATTTAACACTATCAAGTCTTCTTCTTGAAGCTTTTTTTTTTTTTTTTTTTGGATTCTGTAATGACCCCTTCTTCTGCATTTTCCTTAGATTCTGTAACCCTCTCCTGCATTTCCTTTACATTTCTGATTGCTTCTTTTTTTGGATTCTATAATGACCCCCTCTCCTACATTTTCCTTAGATTCTGTAATCCTCTCCTGTGTTTCTCTTTACATTTCTGATTTTCTTCTTTTTTTGTTTTAGATTCTATAATGTCACTCTCTCCTGCATTTTTTTTTTTTAGATTCTGTAACCCTCTCCTGCATTTCCTTTACATTTCTGATTGCTTCTCCTTAATTTTCTTCACACTCTTCTACTTGCAAGTCTTAGGTATTTTTAAAGTATGGTACATTCAAAACCAAGCTCTTCTTTGTTGCCAGAAATCTATTTTCTCTAAAATCAGTCCTCCCTTTTTCAGTAAACAACACGTAAGAGCGCAGCTTTTCCACGTATATTTTCTCAATAAATCTTTTAGATTTTACCTGAAGTATGTATTTCTCATCAACTAATCTTTCTTATCTCCTAGTCGCCTCTCTAATTCAGGGCTCTACCAGCTCTGACTTGTCCTCCTGCTATGTCTTCTTAGGAAGTATCTACATTTCTTAGCACAGAGAGGCTTCATTGCGCACATAGAAATGAAGCCACAGTGTTCTCTGAAAGTTGTGCTCTTAAAGGTCTTAGAGACACCTTTATGATAAAATTCACACTCCTTCCCATGGCCTATGAAGACTTGCTTACTTTTTCATTTGTTTTCTACTAGATATAATCTCCCAGCTTCTTATAACCACATTACTATGCTGTAGCCATGACATGAATGAACTGTGGGGTAATTCCCAGTTTATTCCCCAAATTATTGGACTCTGGGACCACAAATGATGATAAGACAGCCAAATCCTTTGGAAATAGTTTTATAAGTAAAACCTTCATTTTGACCAAGTTGAATATATATGTTTGAGTATCTACCATTAACCAGGGTCTTTGGAAAATAAAAACAGTCCTGGCCCTCAAGAATCTTACAGGGAAAATAAGTAAAACCAATAATTTCAAAGTATTGTGGCAAATTTTAAGATAAGTATATACAAGCAATAGTGTAACCATTAATAAAAGACATTTTACACCCCCTAGGTCAGGGTGGGAGGTCTTTCAGCAAAAATGTTCTGGGGAAGATTCTCTTTGACCAACCTAGAGTCAGGCTCCTGAGTGTTTTTCCTAGTTAGTCCCTGACCTTGAACTCCATCTGTGGTCTATTTGGTCCAGTTTTAGCAAGAAGCCTATTGGTTAAGTTTGGCAAAAATTTCGTACCCTTGACATTTTGTCAAATGTATCACCCACCACTTCCACATCTTATTATCTTGGCTTGCCTCGATCAAGAATTCTATTGAGGCAGCCTCACAAGAATCCCCAATGTGGGTCAGGAGGACCTTGCAGCTATGTTAACAGAACACATGAACTTTAAGAGCATATTAGGGAAATAAAACGGTTCTCTTGATTGCCTTTACTCTGAAGTGATAATTTTCATTTTTACTCACAGTTCAATGGGAAGACTGAGTGCATATCTCCTACATCGCTGCATGGGAAGCAGGGTGACACAGCGGAACACACATAATATATGGTACTAGTGCTTAGAATTACAAAATAAATCTGAATAGACATGATTTAAATTTTACCTTCTCTCTGTCCTTGGTAGTGAAAATATTTTAAATATTCTAAAAATCTATTTGAACTATTACAGAGCTATAAAATCAAAAGAACTTTTGGGCTGTTTGCTTGTTTGCTTTCCATTTTAAGTCTGGTGGCAAAGATTTCTAGTTTTGTATGCACGAGTATGCTCTAATTGCTCATCCAAAGTAATTTAGCTGATACTATTTTACCAGACTAAAATTCAGTCATTTTAGCAAGGAATTTAGGAGAATAGAAGGGAAAAAAGCACTGTTAAAACTGTGTAAAGCACAAGTGGCTTGAAATCAGCAAGATATGATAAATTGGATGAATTTGGAAGAAAATGTTGGAGGCAGAAAATGTAATGTGTTTCAGAGGAAACCATAAAATCTCCTCTGGAGTCTTCATTTCAGACATAAGTGGATTTTGAGCAAGAAAAAGTATGTAATTGAGGTAAAATAACTAAAGATTGTATAAATCTGATCACAGGCACTTTGATATAATGACCCTCAAATAATTAACACTCTGACCTTATATTCTGGAGAGGAAGTAGCATTTTTGTTCTCAGAAGTGTCTTTTATGTAACAGAGGCTACATAATCCTTTTAATAAAGGATTTACTTGTTCATAACTATTTG